TGCACAGCCAAAAAAATAAATAAAAATAAAAAATAAAACAACCTCCCCAAGTTTTCTGCTTTCATAAGGAAAAAAAAAGACTTAGTAAGTTTAAGGTTGCTAGATAACTGTACAAAAATGAATAAATTTTCCTAATACTAGCAATAACCAGTGACAAATGGTGATAAAATCATGAATAAACTTATAGAATATTTACAGAAATACTGTACAGAATAAATTCAGGACTTCTACAGTCAAAATTATACTTTTAATTCAAGATTGGAATAAACAGAGAGATATACATATCCCTGGGTGGGAAGACTTCATGCCATAAAAATCTGTATTCTAAGATTAATCTATAAACTTATTGCCATTCTAATAGGTATTCCTGTAATGCTTTTTGCTCATTTGTTCAAATTTCATTTGGAAGGCGGAGGTAAGAACCAATCATTTTTAAGTTCAAATGGGAAAATACGTAAGAACTGCTGATGCATTCCTGAAAAGGGAAAACTAGTTCATACATCCTTTATCTGCATGTATGAACACTTACCATAAATGCTGTTTCAAAATAATACTCTGGTAAAGGAAACAGAGAAAGAGATTAATACAGCAGAGATCAGTGGAAAGGATCCGAGTGTATAGAGAAGCCTCTGTGTGTGTTTCTGTGTGTTAGTTGCTCAGTTGTGTCCGACTCTCTGCAACCCCAAGGACTGCAGCCCATCAGGCTCCTGTGTTCATGCAATTCTCCAGGCCAAAATACTAGAGTGGGCTGCCATTCCCTTCCCCAGGGGATCTTCCCCACCCAGGGATCGAATCTGAGTCTTCTGTGTTGTAGGTGGATTCTTTACCATCTGAGTCACCAGGGAAGCCCCATAGAGAAGCCTGATCCATCATAAATGCGATGTTTCAAAATGGTGGGAAAAGAGAGGTGTTTAATAATGATGCATGCAGAACAGCTTCTTGGGAGCAGAGTTCAACTCATAGCAGTCCAAATATCCTGGACCACAGTCCAGACAGAAAAGAGAGCTACACATACACAGATTGAAAAGTCCTGTAAGACCCAAACGTCTTGAGAAAAACATTACTAAATAAAAAATTTAAATGCCTGGCAAAAGACAAAAGCATCAAAAAGTGTTGCCCCCAACAGCATCAAAAAAGAAGTGATAGGGAGAAAATATATGCAGTAATCCTTTAACAGCCCTTTAGAAGTCCTGCTATCCAAAGAATGCTTCTTGTGATGAGAAAAGCAAACTCATGGGCTTCCCTGGTGGCTCAGAGGTTAAGAGTCCACCTGCCAATAGAGGGGACATGAGTTCGATTCCTAGTCTGGGAAGATCCCACATGCTGGGCAGGGTAACTAAGTGTGTGCACCACAACTACTGAGTCTGAGTTCTACAGCCTGTGAGCCACAACTACTGAAATTAAAAGACACTTACTCCTTGGAAGGAAAGTTATGACCTAGACAGCATGTTAAAAAGCAGAGACATTACTTTGCCAACAAAGGTCCATCTACTCAAGGCTATGGTTTTTCCAGTGGTCATGTATGGATGTGAGAGTTGGACTATAAAGAAAGCTGAGCGCAGAAGAATTGATGCTTTTGAACTGTGGTGTTGGAGAAGACTCTTGAGAGTCCCTTGGACTGCAAGGAGATCCAACCAGTCCATCCTAAAGGAGATCACCCTTGGGTGTTCATTGGAAGGACTGATGCTGAAGCTGAAACTCCAGTACTTTGGCCACCTGATGCGAAGAGCTGACTCATTTGAAAAGACCCTGATGCTGGGAAAGATTGAGGGCAGGAGGAGAAGGGGACGACAGAGGATAAGAAGGTTGGATGGCATCACCGACTCAATGGACATGGGTTTGGGTGGACTCCAGGAGTTGGTGATAGACAGGGAGGCTTGGTGTGCTGAAGTTCGTGGGGTCACAAAGAGTCGGACACGACTGAGCAACTGAACTGAACTGAACTGTGCGTTAGAGTCCGTGGTCCACAACAAGAGAAGCCACCCCAATGAGAAGCCTGTGCATTGCAACTAGAGAAAAACTTGGGCAGCAATGAAGACCTAACACAGCCAGAAGTAAATACATAAATAAAATTATATAAAAAAACAAAAGCAAACCCTAGGACGTCCCTGGCAGTCCAGTGGTTGAGAGTTCACCTGTCAATGCAGGGGACACGGGTTCCATCCCTGCTCTGGGAAGATCCCATATGCTGCAGAGCAACAAGGCTGTGTGCTACAGCCACTGAGCCCGTATTCCACATTAGGAGAAGCCATCACCGCAGTGAGAAGCTTGTGTCCCGCAACTCGGCAGTTAGCCGCCCACTCACCCCAACTAAGGAAAAGCCCTCACAGCAATGAAGATCCAGCGCAGTCAAATTCAATACAATTTTAAAACTTGAAAAAATTAATAAAAGCAAACTCTTATTCAATAACCTAAAGAGACCTCTTATCAAATCACTTTTTAAATGGAATCCTAGCTTGCATTTGCTGGAAATGATGGCCTCACGTGCTTCTTTCCAGCTGAGTCCGAGATTGACGGGTGCACAGCTGGGTGCCAGGTGGGAGCCCAGCCCTGGCAGGGGACCTGGCCCAGGAGCAGATAGTGTACGGTCAGCTCTGCTCCCTGTGCAAGCGTGCCGGGTCCTCCCAAGTCCATCTAGACTCGCCATCACATGCTGAGTGCTCTCTTATGTTCTCAGAGATCTTTGCAAACATCCTTAGAACAGTGGTCATTAAATACCAAAACATGGCATATTCCTGAGGTGTGTGTGTGTCTTTAAATTATTAAAAACCATCAAGGTTAAACAGTCTGCATAAGGGACAGGTGAGTTTAACAGAAAAACTAGGGGATTCTGTGATATGCTCTTGGAACATGAAGTTGTCATTTCAAATTCCCCTTTATCTGTCGCCGCTCCCCGTTTTCCCTGGAGAAAGCATCAGCCGTGGTTGGAATATAAGCCTCTCTTCCGAGCTGAATGGCCCCAAAGAGAAGTGGACACACAAGAGAGAGATGGTCGGCTGGCATCAGAGTGAGGTGGGATGTGTTTGGGGACACTCTTCGGAGGTTTTCTATGCTTTCACTTGGAGGCAGTTAGGCGACCCGAGTGGCCAGGCATTCCCAGGAGGGAAAATCCAACCATGAACCATTCCGGCAGGTTCTGAACAACCACAGAGCAGGGTCCTGCTGTTTTTTGCACATGCTTGTGTCTAGTGGGTTCTTGGGACACGCCCCTGTGATGTGGGAAAAAGTGATTTCCACGGTGCATGAGCCAGGGAAACCCGGGATAGAAGACTGCGAGGCTTTCTGTGTTGCCGAAGCCTCAGAGGCTTCCACTCATGGGTGCTTGCGTGTCCCCAGGGAGGGCCCTCGTCCCTCTGTGCTTGCTGTGCCCCTCAAAGCCCATGTGCTTGACACAGGTTGCAGAAATTCTGCTTCCTATGAACTAAGCCCACCACATATCTTGGGTCCCTGCCATGCAGGGCTGACTAGGCACCTTGGACAAAAGGAGACAATTCATTGCATCCAAGTGACTTTGCTCAGGATCTCATAGGCCCAATCTGGAGAAGGACCTGCTGAGCTTTCTCTGGGTTCTGGGCTCCTGGTCCTGTGACAGGGCAGGTGTAAGAGGGGGCTTGTGGGATTTCCTCAGGCAACAGGAATTCCTGTGATTAGGACGTAAACCACCTGTACGTGGACAGACAGACGGAGAAACAGATGGAGGGACAATCTCTGGAGTCACAGGGGCTATTTTGTGGGAAGCGCCTTTGGCATGGGCTTCCCAGGTGACACTAGTGGTAAAGAGCCCACCTGCCAATGCAGGAGACATAAGAGACGTGGGTTCGACCCTGGGTTGGGAAGATCCCCTGGAGGAGTACTTGGCAACACACTCCAGCATTCTTGCCTGGAGAATCCCATGAACAGAGGAGCCTGGCAGGCTATCGTCCATGGGGTCGCAGAGAGTCGGACATGACTGAAGCGACTTAGCATGCCTTTGGCATATTCTTTCTCCATCTCCCTCCTCCTCTCTCTCTTCCCTCCCTCTCTCTGACCCCATTTCTCTCTATGCCATGTCTCTCTCTCTCTCTCTCTGTCCCTCCCGCCCCTCCCCACAAGCCCTGACCCCAGGCTCTGTTCGCCCCCACAAGTACCTTCTGTGTCAGACTGGCAGCCGCCCACACCTCGGAGCTGGGGCTTCCCAGGGACAGCTTGGGGTTCACAACCAGATCGCTGCCTCCTAAACAAGAAAGGGGTGCCTCTGGGTGCCTGGGAACTCTCTCCCCTCCCCAGTCTGTCCTTGCACACTCTCGGGGGGGTTCAGAAAGTATAATCACGCTTAGAAACTGTCCCGCCTGGAGCAGGTTCGCAGGTCGGCTGTGGCTTGGGGAGGTCAGAGCCCAGAGACCAGGAGGACAGGAACCACCACCCTGCCCCTCCCCCGGGACGCTCCTGTCTCCTCATTAGCTGTTCCCTTGAATGACTGACTTCCCTCCGGAGGGAAATTCCTGAAACCCAGCAGTTGACAAACCCACACACCCTCGGAAAGCTGGGCACCAGATAAAAGCCCTCGCAGGAGCCGGCCTCCTGGACGGCCACTGCAGGCCCAGGGACCGCCCGCCCGGCTGCTGCCTCCTCCCAGCGGCGGCCGACCTCAGTCCTGGGCTCGGAGTCTGCACCGGGAGACACAGCTCCTGGGAGTTTTCTGGTTCGCTCTCAGCCCTCCCGGGTGATCTATTTCTGTTTTTCCTTTGGGAAGAACGCGCTTTGCCAATGACTAATCGCAGGCCTACCGAGATGCTATCGGCAGGGCAGGACCCCCGCCCGGGGCGGAAATGAGGAGATAGAGCTGACTGCAGCCCGACGTGCCAGAAGCACCTGCGCCGGCCCCAGGGATGCGGCCTCCACAGTGACTGCCGGCCGAGGTCGCCACCAGGGCCGAGCCACGTGCGCAAGGAGCCGGCGGCTGCCTCCCCGACGCGGGCGTGTGCGGAGCCGCTGGATGGAGCTTGGGACCCGGGCCCCTCATGTCTGCCCTGCTGACTCTGTGTGTCGTGCTCCTGCCCCTGGCGACCCCGGGCCGCGGCGCCCGGCCATGGGAGCCCTGCACTGGTGAGTGGGGGAGGGGTGCGGGTGGGGGTGGGGCGGGCCGGGGGTCTGGAGGGGAGCGGGCAGGCCGAGCTGGGTCACCGTGCGGAGCTGGCTGTGTGAACTGCAGCACTGGGACGGGAGGAGGCAGAGATTAAAGGGAGCAGCAAGCCCGGCGCTCACAACAGCAATGCCAGCAGGGTGGGGACTCCTTTCAAAGACCTCGCCGCCCCGACCCGAGGCCCTTCACGGGTACCTACCTGCTGGGCCTCCCGAGAAGGCCTTACACCTGCTGGAGGAATGAGGCCTGGCAGCTGGCAGGTCCGTCACCTGCCCGGGACAGAGAACCCAAGGCTGCTCAGTGCAGTCTCCGTGGCCGCAGTCCCTTGAGATGCAGAGTGAGTGATGACAGCCCCTAGCACGCTGACCCCTACCCCACCCCCAAGCGGAGAGCAGAGTTGGAGGGGAGATTCCACCCCCTCCTCCTTAGAAAGGGCGCCTTGACCTGTCAGTGACCATGACCTCATCATGCCTTTCTGGAGTTTCTACCGAGAGACTTCATTGATCAAACCTAACACTGAACAACAGAGTAACAGGGAGAACAGACCTGGAAGCCAGAGGCCGGGCTTCAGGAAGGGAAGTGAGTGATGGTGGCTGCGGGATAGTTATGGAGGGTGGTGGTTTGGCAGGCTATCGTCGAGGGCAGGACGGCACTGGGATGGCTTGTGTGAGGCTCTGGGTTTACTTTCAAGTATCTGGTCCTGGGCTCCTGGAACCCTCTCTGGTCCCTGCATGTTGTGGCGCTTTGCTCTGATGGCACTTGGCTCCCAGTGAAGGGACCATGGCCCATGATGTCCCCCTACCCCCGCAGTATCCCAGTGTTTGGAACGCTGACCCACAGGGGAGGGTCCATAAAGGTCCTCAGCCCCCCATTCCTCCAGGGAACAGCCAGATTGTGCAGGTGAAGAGGAGCAGCCCTGGAGTGGGGGTGTCAGGAAGGACTGACTGAAGCCTGGGGCTCCGAGTCCCCAGGCCCCTGCACCTGCCACAGTCAAAAACTCAGGACGTGTGATTTGCAAACCACACACAGGCCAAGCCCACCTGCAACCCTCAGTCTCTGGCTTAGAGCATGGAGGACAGACCTGCATGCAGGTCTAGGGTGCACGGGTGAAGCACCCGAGCCCGTTGTCCTGAGCACTCGGTGTCTCCCTGGTGGGTGAGTCACAGACGTGTGTCTTCATGTTCCCTTCAGCGCTGGGAACAGAATCAACCTGCATAGTAATAATAAAGGTTATTTATAAAGCCCGCCCCCTCTCCCCTGAAGGCATGTTGTAGATAGTTAAAAGATGACCCAGTTATAAATACCTCAAACCAGGGAGGAAAGATAAAAGTCAAGTAAATAATATTGAGCTAAATTTGGAACGCTCCCAGGACAGTTGATAATGGCCAGTCAGGACTCAAATCATCACTTTGATCGAGTTTGGTTTTGAAAAGCACAGGAGTTTACACCGCAGGGTTTGTGTGGGGTTTGGGTTTCACTTTCCCTTGGCCTTTGTTCCTGGGTCTGTGCCTGGGAAGTGCTTGGGCCTTGACTGCATGCAACCCTGTGACCCTGGGTTTTGAAGTCCTCTGCCCCTCCACCCCATCCGAGCCTGTGACCCAGAAAGAGCAGCCTCTTACAGGAGGTGGGGTGGCCAGATTTGCCGATGGGAAAATTGAGGTCACATCTCTGCCCAGAGTCTGGTGGGCAGACCCTCTGATAAGGGCAGGGGCCTGGGGCTGGTCCTGCTGCACAGGGGCATCTGAGGACAAGTGAAGTGTCGTAGAGCCTCAGCCAAGATGGAGAGAAGACCCTAGCAGGTGGTCAGCATGACCAAGGCTGTGGAGGGCAGGGAGTAGGGGCAGGCTGGGAGACTGGCTGCAGCTGCTGGAGCGGCCTCAGGGTGGGAGGATGAGGCGGGTCTGCAGGGGCTCTGGGCACACATGGGGTGTGTGGGGTGAGCTCCCCTGGGATGAGTGGGTCAGGCAGGATTCGGGGCCTCCCTGACCCCAGAGTCAGCCTGGGTTTTCTGATGCTTAGACCCCTCCCCTGGTTCCCCCAGTGGGGCCAGCTGCCCTTGGACAGAGGGTGAACCATGACTGTAAGACTCTACTAGCTCCCATACCGAGTCCACAATTCTGGGGGGGTGTAATGCGAGTAGTGCCAGCAAAGTGGCTGGGTGTGTCCTGCGGGGACAGCTTGGTGGCCTGAATTCTAGACCAGTGCTCTCGGTCAAGGAGTGACCAGCAGCTGTGGCCAAAGAGCCTGCTGTCCACCCCTAACTCAGCCCATCCTCACCTGGTGTCATCTCCACGTGGACTGGAAAGGTGGAGGGGTTCAGTGGGAGCCATAATGGGGACAGCTGGACCCCAAGGCTGGGTCACTGGTGGGTGTAGGGGGCAGGGCAGAGAGAAGGGGGTGGAGTGGGAGTTGTCCAGGGGCTGGACTTGCTGTGAGGTGTCAGAACAGCATCTCCTGTAATCCCGGGAGTAGTCAGAGGCCGCTCCTTGCCTAGGACTCAGGGCCATGCTGAGGTGTGGGTACCTGATGGATCTGGCACCCGCAGCACCCCCTCCCTCCTTCACTTGCTCGACACCCCTGCCAGGGAGGTGCTGTGCCCCAGGCTGCGAGCTGGCACACCAGTATGCCGCAGCCCTGCCCGGCACATGGACAAGGCTGTCAGTGGACGTGGGGGACCCCAGGGCAGGCTGTGGGTGGGATCAGACCTGGGATCTGGGGTGGGGCGCATCCCTGGGGCTAGAGGCAGTGCCCAGGAGAGGTGGGGCACAGGTTTGCATTATAGAAGCTAGCTGGGGTGTGGAACCTGCAGGCCAGCAGGCAGGCAGGCAGCTCAGTGAAGGGCATCTGGGGGTAGCAGGAAGCCCTCCCTGCCCCGCCTCTGGCAGCTCCCAGGAACTCTCCCACCCTGTCTTTTGGGCTCCTTTAATGAAAATGCTGCAGGAAGTGAGCTGGGGAATCCTCTCGCCTGGTGAGGCCCACAGGCAGGTTCCTGGGAGTCAGTGTGGGTACAACACCCCCTGCTGGGCTCACGTGGCAAGGCCATCTGAGCAGTTGGCAGTCTGGGAGCTGCAGCTTGCTTCAGGTCAGGGGACCTCTGTCCACGTGGGTTTGGCCCCCACCCCACCCCACCCCACCCCACCCTCTGGTGCTGTGACCACCAGGTTGCTTGGGACTAGCCCCAGCCCCAGGCCAGCGCCTGGTTCAAGAGCAGCCTTCTGAGCCCCACAACCCAGGTGACCCCAGGAGCCCACATGTGGGACCACTCTGCATGTGCCACAGGGAGGGGAGGCTGCCTAGCACAGTTGTGAGGGGACCCAGGCTGAAAGGTCCACCTCACCTGCTGGACAGTTTTGCAGGGCTGGGGGGTGGCTTGCAGGTGGGGACAAACTGTCAGCCTGACACCCATTTCCTTTTAAAACATTCTCAACCATTAAGCTAGGACATTGCACAGAAATTAGGAAACAAAGTTTATTCATTTTTGCAATGGAACCTCATACACAAAGAGTCTCACCTGATGGCAAAGTGGGTAAAGAATCTGCTTGCAAAGCAGGAGACACAGGAGACACAGGTTGGGTCCCCTGGAGGAGGGCATGGCAACCCATTCCAGTATTCTTGCCTGAAAAATCCCATGGACAAGAGCCTAGTGGGCTACAGTCCATGAGGTCACAAAGAGTCGGACATGGCTGAGCCACTAAGTAACATAGCAACAACATACACTATACGCTGCTTCTACGGTTTTGATTTTTAAGAGTAAATAATGGATTTCCAGGAGGCCTTTTTCCAGGACAAAATCTAAGAAGTCACCATTCCGAGTTTTGGGGTCTGGCTTTGTTTCCAGCTGGAACCCTGCCCTCCCCACCTGCCTCATTTCCCCCTCCCCTGCCCTGTGCTCCTGTGTGGATCCTGAGCTCCATGCTTAGAGGGGACCTCTATGTGGGTGTTGGGTAGGGTGGGAGGGCGGCCACTTCTCTCCGTGTCCTGAGGGTCTGGGGAGTGCGGGGGTGCCCTCTGTGTCCTAACCCCGCATTTCTGCCTGAAGGGGGCAGGGGCGGAACGTGGCTCAGCCAGAGCACTCTGGGTGGGGGCTGGGGGCTCCGGAGCGCCTCACCCTCCTCTCACCTCTCAGCCATGCCTACGTGCTCCTACCCCCAGCTCTGCTCACAAAGCCTGAAAGCCGGTCCTTCCAGCGGCGGGTCTTGGTCCTGGGAGCGCCTGGGGCACAGGGTAGGGGACCCCTGTGTTAGCTGCTCACTTTTCATCCCGCCCCCAGGTCGGGGCACTGTGCTTTAGGGAATTTGTGGGGGTCTCCAGCAAATCCAATGTAACGAGCGTCTCTGGCAAAGCCAGGGATACTTACTCGCTGCTGGGAGGAGGGCGAGGGAAAGGAGAATGCCCCCGCAACTTCCTTGACGGTGACCCTGCGATGGGTTTGCAGCCCAGTGAGCCCCTCCACACCGGCCTTGGGTAATGGAAGGGGGAGGGGAGGCGACCCCAAAGGCCAGAGCTGCCTACCTTTGGGCCCTGCAGGGCAGCGTGGGGGCCACCGTGCCGGCCTCGGCGTCGCCTCTGCAGGCCTGCCTGGACTGCGGGGCGTGAGTCAACCAAGGGCGTCATCCTATGTCGAGGGGAAGGCGGGGTGCGCACCTGTATGTGAGTGTGCGTAAGTGTGTGAATATGTGTGGGTATTAGTGTGTGAGTGTGTGCGCACCTCCGCGCTGCTGGGAAGAACCCAGAGCACAGCCGCCTGGAGGTGAAGTTCGGTTGTGGCTTTGGCTCCACGCAGTTCCCTGGTTTCTGCAGTGGCCTGGCAGCGCGCGTAACCAAGGGAGACGCGATACCCTTCCAGGCCACCACCCGGCGCAGGTGGGCTGGACAGTGGGGCCTGGCTGGGGCTCACTGTTAGTGGTATCCAGACTCAGGTGCAGACTCCTGGGGACCCGACCCCGGGAACCCCTGGGCTGGG